CGGTAGTCAGGCATGTACCAAGTGTGCCTCACCTTGCGACAGGAGTTGAGGAAGTCATCGCTGAGGCTGTTGTAGGACTTTAGCAGGTTGGCCTTGACACCACGTGGTGGCTCAATGGTCATCTTGGAGCCATTCTGCAGGATGGACACTGGAAACTTGTTACTAGGCAGGCTGGTGAGCCACAGGCGGAAGTCCCGGTGTACCTGGTGGCCAAAGCCCCACAGCAACATTGAGCTTCCTCCTACCCAGGGATCCTGAGCTCACTCTGCCTGACTATATCCCTAGAATGGGCCAGGAAAGGCTGCACAGACAAATAGTTAATAATGTGGGCTTTGACAAGTCCTAGGGTCATCAGTCAGTCTGTGCTGGGTAGCCCTGGGCAAGTTATCAGGTTCCAAACCCCCAGAAACTTGGTGGGGGGTACCATTGAGAAGGTAAATACAGTTGATGCATGATAAGTTTGTCAGTTACACAACACTTGCTATGTGCCCAGGGCTGGGCTGAGTGCCCTGTAGGATTATCTCACTTAAACCTCAGTCATCTTCCATGGCTGGATCACTGCTCCCTTTCAGCGGAAGGGGCCCAACTGGGTCTGTGACAGGCAACATAACACACCTTGTCAGGGTTGATGTGCTCTATGAGGCGCTCCAGGGCTGGCATCCAGCTTGGTGCTAGGTGGCAGTTCTGGAAAAAGACCCACTTGCCCCTCTCTATGGAGCTGCGCATCATGGCTTCTGCCCGAGGGCCCTGTGCAAGCAGGAGCACTGAATGGAGTGGGGGCCATCATCCCAGCCCACTGCCTTCCTCCCTGCCTACCCCTTACCTGTCCCTGGCCCAGGGAGATGGCAGAGAGTTTCTTGGAGAACTTCATCTCTTCAGCAAATTTATAGAGATCCGCAGCAGGGTCTGTGCCAGGTGACAGCACAAAGATGAGGGGCGTCGTGGAATTGGAGTCTTTAAACACCGCTGATAGATTGGCTGTCTGTAAGGATATGGAGAGATGCTGGGACCTGTCCCAGAGAAGCCAGGGACCAGGCAGGGGAGAGGTGACTTAGGGCTCCCACAGACATCCCAGTGGGGCTTCTGAGTTCCTTCAGGGGCTGGCTAGGAGTCAAGTCCTGTCTTGGCGAAGGCTGCAAAGAGGCTCATCCCTGATATTCCAGATGCCAGCTCTGCCTGGGTACCAATACTTACCTGGGGTTCAATGAAGCGTGGCTCCAGGTTGCTGGCCACAAAGTCCTGCATGGCATTGGTAACCTTGTCCCCACGCAGGCAGCGGAGGACCAGCAGCTTCTGGAACTGGTCCAGGTACTGGTCCCAGATGCCAGGTAAAGGTTCCCTAAAACAAATTTCCCTGAAAGCCAGCCCATGGGAAGCCACTGGCCCCAGGGATTCTGCCATCTCACTAAGTAGTAGGGGAGCACGGGCTGTCCCAAGAGTACAAGTTTGAAGGCCTAGGAGAGATTGGGCTACAGCTGCAGAGTAATCCAGGGTAGATTTCTAGAGGTCTGTACAGACTTGTCCCTGGGGTCTTGGCTGCTTGAGGTGCTACCCTACTACATCCTGGGACCCAGCTCACCGGTGGGGCTCAGGGCTGTCGAAGATGGCCCGGAACACTTTATGGTGCTTTACAAAGTCAGAGGAGAAGGAAGAAAAGGTTGGCAGGTTTGACAGCGCCAGGATGTCTCGCCAGGCCCGTTCTGACAGCCAGTCTGGTGCAGGGTTCTCGGTCATGGTCTGGATGGAGCCCCCAGAGAGGAGGTAGCGCCACTCACCCTGGCAGGGGACAGGCAGGTTGTAGCCAGCTCCCCCTTACTTCCAGACACCCTGTCCAGAGAAACTGAGCTGCCTTTGGAGGTGTTGGTCAAATGGTCTGATTTAGTGTCTCCGCTTTGCCGTTTCCTGGATGTGTGCTCCACAGGGCTCCCCGTTAACACGTGTGGAAGGCTTAGGATGGTCCATCTCTAAGAACAGTCTCTGTGCTCAGCACGTTCAGGGCTCTAAGAAGGCCCGTGCTCATAGCATTGATGGGCCATAAAAAACCCAGGTTTCCTGATGTGTTTAACCAAGGAATTGAGCTTCTTTAGACCTCTGCCCATTTGTCATGCTGTGCCCTGGTGCCTTATTGTCCCTTTCTATTCACCCTGTTCTCCCTGGCCCACAACAGGGCCACCATTCAAGCAGTCAGGCCACCTGGCCATCTCCCTGCCTCTGCACCTGGTTGATCTTGCCCTCGTTCATCATGATGCGGACACACAACAGAAAGGCAAACATCAGCTTGTGCTTCTCAAAGAGGCTGCGACAGACATTGCTGTAGAGGCTGTAGGTCAGGTAGCGATTGATGTTGGTAATACGCTTTTTCAGGTTGTCTGCAGGGCAGAGAGGTGATACCAGAGTGTTGGGAGAGGAGAGAGGAAGGAAGAGCCCAGGGTGCCTAGCTAACTTCCCTGTAGCCATCCCAGCAGTGTGGGCATCACCTTGGGCAGTGAGTTTTCTCAGTAAAGGGATCCCAAGGAGGATAGGAATCAGCGGGCATGTTCTTAGGTGATGTGAGAGGGTGTGCCAGTGAACGTGAATTTACGTGTGTGCCCCATAGTAGAAATGTGTCCATGTGTGTCCTGTCTGTCAGAATGGGCATGTGCCTGTGTGTTACCTGCCCTCTCTGAGTTGGCGATGCCCGAGAGGAAGATGTTGAGGAACCACTCGAGGGAGTACTGGTACATGGGGTCCACATTCGCCAGGTCAGACACACAGAAGAAGAGGATCTGGGTCCGGACAGCCACAGGTATGTATTCCATGCGTGTGAGGTCGATGTCCTTCTCGGTCTGCTCTGCAATCTTGACTTTGGCCTGCGGGGCATGCAGTAAGAGGACATTAGGCAAAGAGCAGCGGACAGGTGGATGGAGGCAGTGGTCAGGCCTGGAGATGTGGAGGAGATAGGGAGCAGGCCCGAGACAGGCAGGAAGAGGCAGGTGCCCACCTGGATCTCAGCAGCCTTCATCTTGGAGGCCTCAAGCACTTTGATGAGCTCCATGTCATCCACAGGGTTGCCCTCAGAGGAGCTAAGCCGGTATAGGATCTGGTCTTCAATGTCCTTTAGTTCCTGACGCATCTTGGCATTACTGATAATCAGCTGGTTCTTGGCTTCCTCCAGGTCTGGTCGCTCTTCAGCCACTACCTGGCCTAGCAGCTGGTCCTCCAGGCCACTGCCAGGGTCAGGAGGTACCATGTTGGTGTACCCTAGAGGGCCAGCTTTGAGCTGCTCATTTATCTACCTGGGGCTCCAAGAGCATGCTACAGGCCCTCTGTCCACCCAGAAGGCCTGGGCTCTGTTACAGGCTATGGGCTCATTCACAGCCTGCTTTCACAGAGTGGTTCTCAGTGAGACCTCATGGCAGCCCAGAACCCAGTAACCTGGTACTGGCCAGTTGGACCTCGAGTCTCTGAACAGTTCTTCCTCAAAGGAGGGTGCTACAGATGATAGGCCTCAAGGGCCTTTGTACCCATTGACTTGTGGAGAGGCTCCTAGTGACCATGGAAATGTCAGTGCTGGCACAGAGCAGGCCTGCGGGGGAGGGGGAGCATTCTTAGGCAGAAACAGTGGCAAGTCAGAGGAGCTAGTGGAGGGAATGCCAGTGCCTGGAAAGAAGCTGATGGAGCCACTGAGTGGCTACCCAGCCTGGAATAGCTAAGCAGCAGCCAGCAAAAGGAGGTAGAGCAAATGTGTGGGGGTCCTCTAAGATGGAGACTTACCTGGGTGACAGGGTAAAGTTGATGAGAGTGAGTTTGGTGGAGATCTCAGGTGTGTAGTGTGGGTTGGGCAGCTTGGTGGTGATGTACATCCTGAAGTCCTCGTGGTAGGGGATCACTGTATCCCCCAGCTTCAGCACTGTGTTCCCCTGCTGCTTATATGTCTGTGGTGGGCATGGGTAGAACAGGCAGGTGCTGGGGTCTGAGCTGCACCAGTGTGGTGGGGACAGCTCCCTGCTCAGGCCTGCAGCCCTGTCCTGCCCCGCAAAGGCCTACCTGCTTAAGCAGCACAGGCTCCAGGGCCGGATCAAGCTCCTCGCCCACATTCTCCAGAAGGCACGGCTTGCCAAAACGGATGGCATTTTCCATGCTGCGCAGGAAGTCACGGTCACTCAGCTTAAATACATCCAGCCCGTTGTCCTTTTCCTGTGGGGACAGGAAGGCTGAGAGCCATGCTGAGGCTAACTGTGGTTGGGTGGTGGTGGCAGTGTTGGCAGGTGGTCTCACCATGTTCTTGATCCATTTGTTGGCCTGGCTCTGGGGGTCGATGAAATGGGTCCAGCGCTGGGAGAACTGGTTGATGACCCCGTTCTCCACTGACAAAGTGTCATTGGGGAGGCCAGCAATCTGTGGAAGGCCAACTGTCAGACTGGATCAGAGCTCTCATACAAGTATAAATTACTCCCAACCCCATGCTTTGGCTGTGAACGTGATTCTTTTTATTCCACCCTTTGGATGTGTGTGTAGGTGGGGAGGTGGGCAAATGACGATGTGGGCAAAGTCTTGTTCCCCAAGATCCCCACCTCATTTATGCTCCTGATGTCCTCTTTTGCTGGGCATTTGTGTCCTGATGCTTACTGAGTCCTCATTCTGTGACCACCTTCATGGAGCCCACATCCCGTTTCCCTCCTGGCTTTTGCCTGTGCTTATGGCTTCTTTATTTTTCCCCTTTGCTAACTCACACTGCCCTTTGGGGACTAACTTGGAGTATGACTACTTCTAGGAAATCTCTCCTAACCTTTACCTGGACAGTTCTGTACCACACCACACTCCCCACACTCTTAGCTAGCATTTGTGCCTTCTTTGATCCAGCTTTCTGTCTCTCCTATCCACCACTCTCTTGCAGGGGCCAGGAGTATTCAGGAGAGGCGCCTTCAAGTCTGGCCCCAGGGGGAGGGTGGGAAGGAGGCAGGAGGCTCCTGGCCTAGCTGGACCACACTGTAGCCCAGCCTGGTCTCTCTTCCCCCCAGGGTGGGCACCTGCCACGAGCGGATCTTCACAGGATTCCCCAGTGTTCCGATGAGCGTGGGCTCAGAAGTATGAGGTACTTGATGGACTGTAAGCTGCTTGACCCACTGGTCATAGAGTGCTGTGCGATACTGACCCTGGGGAGATACCAGACGCTGGGCTGTCACACCAGACACCATGGCCTTCCCTACCCTTTGCTACTCCTCAGGTTTGAGGAGGCAACAACAACGTCCACCTGCGTGGTGACTGCGAGATTAAAGGGGAGTCATCATGAAGTGTTTAAGTGTTGGAGCAGTGTGTGGCACCTACAGGTATCCGTGTGAGCTTTCACAAGTTCCCCTCGAAGGCTGGCTCCATGAGAATGGCTCTTCCAGCCCTTTTTTGCACTGCTGTGTCCTAGCACTTGGCTCACAGAAGTGGCCTGCTGAGGGCTTGTTGAATGAGATAGGAAGGGAGAGGCCACCTACAGGCTGCTGGGCTCCTCCGGGAGAGGAGACTGGTCAGAGGCAAAGCTGGGGCTACTTACAGTGAAGGGGCCCAGGTAGGCCACAAAGCCGGCAGCCACCAGCACGTTGCCTGAGATGTTGTCAAGCATGTTCTCCAGATTCTCCACTGTCTCCCGCCAGCGCACCTTCTCATCTGACAGCCCGTTGATGAGCTGTGGAGATGGCCCCATGGGGTGGACTCTGGGAAGCTGTGCTGGGGGCTGTGGTGGACTCCCTGCTGCAGCTGCTGTGATTGCTAAGTAGAGGGCAGCTCCACAGAAGCCCCTCCCTGGACCCTTCGGGGCCCTTCAGGTGGGCATGCTCGTGGGCCTTCCGGGGGAGCAGCACCCACCTTGTCAGCGCGACCCAGCCGCTGCTCACACTGCTCACACTTCATTTCCAGCTCTTCCTTCTTGGCAATGCATTCTCGGTACTTGGCCTGCATGGTGGCGATGCCATCCTCCACCTCACGTAGGCGCTGCTTTGCCTCCTCCAGGATCTTCTGTGTCACCTCCAGGTCTTCCTGGGCCTCCCTTAAGGCTTGCTACAGACAGAGGGTACAGGGCCAACTTGCCTCTGAGTGCGTGGGGAGGGGAACCAGCCACCACCAGCTCTACCTGGTCCTCACCCGCTTGGGCTCCACAGCCTTGGCCACGAAGTGGTACTTGTGCATGGCCCGCACCCACTGGCAGATGGAGGTACAGGCCTTGGACACCTTGGCGATGGCGGCTGGTTGGAACTCCTCGTTGTCAATGTACGGCTGGATGGCCTTGATCACAGCCTCCCCAATATTGTCCTGGTGTGGGAATCATGGGCCTCAAGAGGCTGCTTCCCACACCTGGCGGGAGAGGGGCTCTGCTGGAAGGTGGGGCCTCTGAGGGATGCCCCCCACCCCTCTGACACCAGGTCCTACTTCTCTGCCCTGTGTCCTGTGCAGGCCTCAGCTCAGTTTCCTTAAAAAGCAAACACAATCTAGAAAGGCTGACCAGACAAGAAACCTCTGTGTCCCTGGGATTTCACATAGTTTCTCAGACGCCTCAAGATCTGACAATACACAAGGCCACATTGAAAAGCTCATTTAAAGACAAGGTCTGTTTTCTGAGAGCGATGCTTCAGTGGGTATGGAGAGTGAGGGGTTCTGATGAGCATAGGGTGCTGCACTGTTCACAAGTTTCCAGAGCCAGAGCCAGAGCCAGAGCTGGGGCTGAGCCTGGGGGCCTGAACACTGAGTCTGGGCATGCCTAGCCTGCCTGCTCCTCTCAGAATGGCTTGATTAGACCTGTGGGGCCCCTTGTTTCCTGCCTAATGGGAGCAGAGGAGGAATAGTGAAGCTCAAAGGTCTAGCTGCTGCTTGAGCCCTGAGACGAGCCACTGTCCCTAGTCTCCAGGCTCAGCATAGAAGTGCCCAGCCCTTGCACTGACAAATGGTGGTGGCCCACATGGGTCAGGCAGCTGCTCCTCAGGCAATTTCCAGGATGGAGAGGGGCCCATTGCAGGTAACTGTGGGCTCCAAGCTGACCTGACCATGTGTTAGCCCCTGACAGAGCCCATGTCCAGATGGACAGAGAAACCCAGAGGGACACAGAGGAACCTGAATCTCAGGTGCTGAGATTGAGGGACAAAGATGATTGGCAAAGGTCTTGGGCAAGGCCATAGGGGTCCAGAGTGAAAAAAGCACAAAAGAATTCCCAGCTGTGGTGTTTTGGAGTGACTATAGGGGTCCAGAGTGAAAAAAGCACAAAAGAATTCCCAGCTGTGGTGTTTTGGAGTGACTAGGGGTGACATCCTGTGGAGCACAGGAGCCTGCTTTGGTTCTGATTTTCTCAATACCTATCTGTTGGTGGGTCTACCTGTTGCCCTACTGATACACAGGAGATAGGGCATGGCAAAGCAGACTGGGGGAAATGAGCAGGACCTGTCAATCACAAGGTCCCTGGACAACACCAGGACCCTGTATGTAGAATTTCTTTTGAGCTGCCATGAGATGTAGATGGCATAAAAGAAGACCAGACAACATGGAAAGTCATTGTCATGAGTTCCCACGATAGTCTGTGCTGTGTTTCTCAGATGTGAAAGCATAATTTTATTTTTGTTTTTACCCTCTTTTTTTTGTTTGTTTGTTAGGCCCAAGCTCACCCTGCAGAGCTGGTTCTTCCACACCCATTCACCCTGCATTTTTCAAATAAACCTGAGGCACTAGTTTTGGCTTGTCTAGTTCAATTCTTTGTTGGAGGCAAGCAGGAATATTTTTGATTGATTTCTTAAAAAACCTATCCTATAACACTACCTCTGTGCTTCACAGTCCTGGTCAGTTATGTGGCTCTAGGCTGTGTGTGCTGCTGGTAGGGGTGGGGCAGGCAGAGGGGATAGAGACCACGGTGCATGCAGACCCTACGGGCAGGAGGCGCCTCTCCAGCTTCCCTGCCCTGCTTGGTCCCAGCCTTCCCTGCTGGCTAGATGCTTACCTTGTCAAACTTGAAGAGGCCCTCAAGGAAGCGACCTGGGTCCTGCAGCAGCCCTTTGCCTGGCTCCCAGTAGTCATCTACTTTGGAGCCTGGCTTGTCTCCAGCCACCTTCTTTGGCTTGATACCCTTCATGATGCACACAGCTTCTATGACTAGCTTCACGCCTGGAGGTGGCCGCTGCATGGCACGTACCTGTGGGGTCAGTGATGAGTAGCTCCATCTAGGCAGGAACACTGCCAGACAGGGTAGGGCCACTAATCAATCTGCTACTGCTACATAACCAAGAGCTTGCCCAGAGATTATCTGAGGTTGGCTTCAGCATGTGGCTCCTGGGGACTGGCATGGGGAGGGCAGGGCATGCAGCTAAGATCTAGAAGCCATAGTTCTGCCTTCATTTCCTGGCATGTGACCACCAAAACGTGCAGAGAGAGGGCTCAAAAACACCACTAGGACCTAAGAAGACAATGGAGAAAGATGTAAGCATGATGGCCAAGAGAAACCAGTTACCCACCTCGGTTACATCATTTTTGTTGAGATTGCGCAGGCTGGCCAGGGCTGCATCCAAGGCTGGAAGAGCTTCATCCAGATCCTTCTGAGCATCATCAGCAATAGCTTGTGCCTTCCTGGCCTTCTCGTTGGCTTTGATCTCCTCAGCCTGCACAGAATTCCGGGTCTCCTCAGCAATGGCTGTATCGACCTTGAGGGTGGGAAGACAGAAGAGCCCAGTGGTAGCATCAAGCATGCCTTTTCTCTCTTTTTTGCATCTCAGACTCTCAGAAGGAAAGAAGATAAGGTTGAGGAGGAGTCCATTCTCAAGGCATCTCCCAGTTGTAGAGATTGGGAAGGCCAGAAACATTTTCCACATGCTGAGCCCTCATTATGGGCCTGCTGTGGAGCTCATGGTCTTCCAGGTCTGAAGACACCTGCCCCATAGGGAAGCTCCCAAAGCCACAAAGCCCCTTCATACATGCCAGAGAAAGGCACACTTTCTTCCTGGAAAAATTTGAAAGACCCTGACTTTGAAAACACTTGTGTACTTCTGCTAGAAAACTGTCTTAATGAAAAATCACAATCTGTGATTTTTACTGAGAGGACGGGATCCTCCGTGGTGCCCTTGTGTTATGCAGAATCTGCACATCTGCCTGTTGGCAACCCTCCTATCCAGACTCCTATCCAGTCTGCGCTATGGTCATTAGCATTATTTGGGGCTGTGTGGATTTATTTGCCTGGCTCTTCACCAATCTCAGCAAGTACCTAGCATCAAATAATTCTGACCAAGCATCTGTCAAACTCGAACAGCTACTGAATGAGGAAACTGAGGTCTGTGAAAGCTGACTGGCTTGCATAGCTTAGGGAGGAGGCAGGCTGTGCTTGTTTAGAGTTGCTGTCTTCAGATGGGGTCAGACATCTAACTGGAGGAGAGTCTAGGAGCACCCCCAACCTTGATTTGGTCCATAGTGGATATGGTGTCCTTGGCAGCCTCTTCTAGCAGGGGACGCATAATCTCCAGATCCTCTTGCATCTTGGCCACGTCCTCAGAAGTGCGTAGTAACTGGGGGTGGGGTGGATTGGGGTAGGGGAAAGTAAAACTGACCAGCATGCCCAGACAGGGTCTATAGGGAGAGTCAGGCCTGGTATGCTGGGGAGAGTCTCCTGCTGTGCCACCCCCATTCGTGAGAGGGAGGCCATGGCATCTTCAGTGGCCATCAGAGATAGGGGCCCATACATTCCCCTGAGAATCTTTCGGGGTAATTAATGACTTGTCTTTAGCTGATAAATTTTATTTTTTCACTGAGGGAAAAAGCCACCTCTTTAAACACTGTGGGTTCCAATTGGAAATGCCCGGTCACTCTGGTGCCAGGGTAGCACCACTGGCAGTTGGCTCCCATCCATGAGGCTTCTCCCAAGCCTACCTTGTCAAGGCCACTCTTCATGCGGTTTTTGGCAGTTTTCAGCTCCAGTTTCTTCTGTCCAATGAGGATGGAGAAAATATTGAGCAGTTCTAGATAGCTCTTGGGGGTCACATAGTTGTGGCGGGCCAGCTCTGCTAGGTATTCAACGCACTTCTTAGACACTGACTGGTGTATATACACACAAATCTGAATCTGTGAGGGGAGACCATTGATGCTGGTTTTGTGGCAATCCCAGCACAGACAGAGCACTTGGTGCCCACAAAGTCACTGTAATCTAGTCCTGAGGAAGGACTCATGGAAGTAACCTCCCTGCTTCCACTCACTGTTTCCTAAGATTCTTACAAACTTACCTTGTATGCACATGAAAAACCCTAGACTTGCATAAGTCAAGGGTAGAGCTGGCATTGAACATAGACCTACATGTTATGGCTCCCACAGCCTGGCTCTCTCTGAGAGCCCCAAGATGGTATCCCTCAGAGGCTGGATCCAGAGGGAGGGAACAGGCAAGGCCCGAGCAAAGATGGGCAGAGACCTGTTGGCTTTATCTTAGCACTTGGCCCAGGGGGGCATTACTCTCTGAGGTCAGATCAGACATATCTAGTTCACCCCATCTGTCATCTCTGGAGTTGTGACAGGAGACTCTCGGAAGAGAGATGCCATGAAACAGTGACTAAAAGAAGCCGTAACCGTGTAGCTCTGTGCTGAGTATCAGCATCTCTGTAATGAACTGTGACACTCTTCACTTTACAGATGTAGAAACTGAGCCTCAGATAGGTAAGGCTGTCTGATGGACAGGCTAACTATTGGTAGTGGGCCTGGGACTCTCATCAGGCCTAGGTGACCCCAAGTCCATGCCCCAAATAAAACAGAGGTTTTTTTTCTCAGAGGTTGCTTCTCTCCAAGACACCTACCAGTCCTTCAATTATTTCGGAGGAAGATTCCAGTTCTGGGATCTCATTCAGGAATGTGGTAGCTACAGACTCCAGGGCCTCTGCTGGCCATTCATTAAACCAGTCAATGGTACAGCAGTTGACGAGGGAGGGGAACTGTCTCAGGCGAGCTCGGAAGACCTCTCCGATGGGGCTAGGGGAGCCGGGCACCCAGGTGAGGCCAAGGACACCGACTTAGGCTCCCAAGAACCCAAGACTCAGGGCCCTTCCTCAGCCTGTGGCTCAGCCATCAGGACATACCAGCAGCCTGGTCCCAGGGGCATGATGGCCAGGCCCAGAGCCTCTCCTCATCTCTGCCCAAATACCCAGGCCCCTGAATCACAGAGGGAGGCTGGGCCCTGCCCAACCTTGTGGCCCTGGCGTGGCTGTGTCTACCTCATGCATAGCACCATGTGGATATTGCTGCGCACGCGCCCGGTGTAGGCAGCCATGAGGTTGGCCTTGGTGGGCTGCAGGCCCTGCTCCTGAACATAGCCCCGCATAGCGTTGACAATCTGGTCCTGCTCATCCAGGTTATAGAGGTTGGGAATGTCGCCTGAGTTCAGGACATTGTTGATGTCCTCCAGGAAGGACTCGTTTTTGATCTAGGGAAAGACAAAGAGTGGGGTGCTAAGCTTTTAGGTTAGCCCCTGTGTGCTGGGCTTCATAAGACCATCTCACTGGACCTTCACAACAGCCCTATTGAGAGCCCCTAAGGGCTCAGAGAAGCCTAGGCTCACTCAGGGGACTTCATAAGTAGTCCAGGATTTATGCCTAGGCCTGCCCTACTTCCAGAGGTTCTGAACGTAACACCTGGGCCATGGCAGAGCCCCAAGTCCAGGTGGGTGGTATGATGTCTTCCTGCTCACTTGCTGGCCTTCCTCAAGGCCTCAGTTTACCCACAAGTGGAAACCATGGCTACAGGCAGGGACACGTAGCTTGAGTCAAAGGGTACCCTCACTTTCCTGACCAACTCAGTAACCTCCTGAAGAGACCTTGGGGCTGGGGCAGGGCCCGGAGCAGAGTGGCCAAAGCCCAACCCTGACTATTAGCCAAAATTAAGAGCTGCACTGTTTGTTTTGTGGCCTTAGGATCAACCTTGCCTTTATTCAGAGACCTGGGGAGAGAGCATATACCCAGGAAGTCCCAGAGGGAACAGCCCCAATGAGAGAAGCCATGAGTCCCTAGTACTTTGGGCATAATCCCTTTGTCCTTAAGGTGGGAAGATGTTGACTAGTTGAGTGGTATGTCATGGTACTGGGAGGCCTTTTTACTCTTGGAGCATGAGGAATGCCCCCTTAGCTCTGTGGTCCCATCTGGTCCTGCCAGTTCTCCTCAGATCTGCCTTCACTGCATGTGCTGGGTGAGAAGGATTGAGCCCTTGCAGGACATCATGCTGGGATGGCATCCCAGCCATCTCAGGATGGCACCCCAGACCTCCCCCTGCCATCATGGAAGCACCTGGGTGTCTGAGAACAAGAAGGTGATGGACAGATTCTGCAGGCCGGCTTTGAGCAGGATCTTCTTGACATCCTCACGCCACTCAGACATGCCATAGTTCTTGGAGAGCTCAATCTGGAAGCACTCATACTCAGCCCTGGAAGCAGGAATTCAAGTCAAGCCATTCCAGGCCATGATGAGAGATGGGTGCCCATACTCCATCCAGTCATCTGGAATCTCACTTTCACTCTGGGCAGACTTACCAACCCTCCAGACCTGAATCTGCGCTCTTGCCTCTAGACCTTTGCTCGACCTATTCCCTCAGTCTGGAGTAGCTTTTCCTTCTATCCTTCCAGCTCTGATTCTGCAAGCAGACAGATAGCCCCTCCAGGAGGCCCTCTAGAATGCTGCATCCTCCCTTCCACCAGCACAGCAGGCTACTGTGGCTGCCT